CGTGTGTGTGTGTGTGTGTGTGTGTGTGTGTGTGTACACCACATTTTGTTTATCCATTCATCTTTCGATGAACATTTAGGATTGTTTCCACTTTTTGGCTATTCTGAATAAGACTTGTTATGAACATTCATGTATAAGCCTTTGTTTGAACACCTATTTTTGGTTCTTTTGGGTATATACCTAGGACTGGAATTACGGGATCATATGGTAATTCTATGTTTAACTGCTCAAATGAGGAACTGCTAAAATGTTTTTCTTAGCAGTCGCACTATTTTATAGTCTCTTGGCAATGTACAAACTTCTAACTTCTCCACATTCTTTGCAACAGTTGTTATTTTCCATTTTTTAAAAATTATAGCAATCCTAGTGGGTATGAAGTTGTATCTCAATGTGATTTGGATTTTCATTTCTCTGATGATTAGTGATGTTAAGCATCTTTTCATGTGCTAACTATTGGTATATATATACACTTTAATGTTAATCCCATTTTAAATTGGGCTGTTTGTCCTTTTGTTTGAGTTGTAAGAATTCTTTGTACAAATAAGTCTAGACTCTAGACTTATCAGATGAATGATTTGCAAATATTTTCTCCCATTCTGAGCTTGTCTTTTGACTTTCTGGACCATGTCCTTTGACATAACAAAAGTTTTGGACTTTGATGAAGCACACTTTATTTTTTCTTTTGGTTGTGTTTTTTATTTCATATCAAAGAAACTAATGCCAAATCCAAGGTCATGATTTATCCTAATGTTTTCTTCTAAGAATTTTATGATTTTAAGTCTTACATTTAGATTTTTGATCCATTTTGAATTAATTTTTGTAAATGGTATGTGGTAAGGGCCTAGAGTTATTTTTGTGGAAAGATATTTTTCCCCCCCTGACTCAATTTCTTTAAAATATTTTATTTTTCTATTTCTTCTTTTATACTTATATTTTATATTTATGTTTAAAAACCTTAAAAATTAAAGCAAAAATTAACCACATTAAGCTCAAATACTTTAAGGTACTAAGTGAAAAGTTTTGAACTACAAGAGACAGACATCACTCAGCAGAGTTTTTCAATAAAGTCATTTTTATTATGAAATATTTCAGGCATAAAAATGTAAAGACTATTACAATGAACATGTACCAACAATCAAGCTTAAGAAATAAGGCATTCCACATCTAGATGAAGCATACTGTGCATCCTTTTCTAGTTGCATTTCCTTCCTATCACAAAGGTAACTACAATCACAAATTTGGTGATCATTCTTGAAATTCATACCTTTATACTTTTGCCTAAATATATATCCCTACATTGTATGTGGTGTTACCTTGTATTTTTTAAAGTTGTGTGTGTGTGTGTGTGTGGTATGTGTCCTTCTACAGATAGAAATATTTTTGCTGAAGTATTCTATTTTTCATTTGTTTTGAGATAATTTGGAATTGCTTGTTGAAGCATTTTTTATGATGGCTGCTCTAAAATCTTTGTCAGATAATTCCAGCATCTGATTTATCTGTATATTGGCATCACTCGATTGCCTTTGCTGATTCAAGTTGTGACTTTTCTGGTTCTTGGTATGATGAGTGACTTTTTTATTGTATCCTGGACATTTTGAAAAGCAAGTTATGAGACCTTGGATCCTATTTAAGTCTCGTGTTTCATCAGGGAGTCACCCTGTTTATGTTTAATGTGTAGTCCCTAGCTTACTTTTTTCGACTGTGGTTCCAATGACAGTATGGTTTTCGGAGCCTATGCAGTGTTTTTCTGGTCCATTTCGTTCAACTGGCACCACCAGGGCTCCTGTCTGATCCAGCTGATGCTGTCTGCAGGGGTGGAGTGCAGTTTCCCAGGCAGGTCCTGCTGGGGGAGTGTGAGAGATGCCTGGCCGTGGGGCAGTGAATGCTTCTCTGACATTCTTAATGCCACCGTCCATTGCCTGCCTTATCAATGATGGTGTTGCCTGAGGGGTGGAAGGGGCTTTCCTGGGCTCTCCAGTGCTGCTAGGTGTTATGTGGATGATGCTGAGCCTATGGGCTAGAGAGTGTTTCCTAGGGCCTTCTCCCTAGGTCACCTGGTACCACCGGGCTTCTTACTGGATCTGTGCCAGTGCTGCTGAGGGAGGGAAGCAACCACCTGGGCCTCCTTCTGCCTCTGGTGATAGTGCTGGGGGTCATTCTTTGTCACTGAATTGAGGCCAGGAGATGCTTTATGTGGGTCTCCCTCTGTTACTGCTGAGTGGAAGGCCAGGAGACACTGGGCCTGCTGGTGCTTCTGAGTGGAATTAGCTGCCTACTCTTGCAGATGTTGCTGGTATAGGCTGAGCAGGCCAGCCACGTATGGAGTGAAGATGGGATTCCCCCCGGGTCTGTGCTCTGCTGCTTCTTCCCTGGGCCTTCAACAGAGAGAGCTAGCTTTTCCTAAAGCTTTTTTTTTTAAATCTATGCCTTTTGGTGGTTTGAGCTGTGGTCTTCTTCAATGCCCAGTCTGGGTAATATACGGGAGACAGAAAGAAATCCCAGGGAACTTGCCGACATGTTGTTCCTCAAGTCCTAAGGTCCCTAGCCAGCCTACCTTCCTCTTTCCACCTTTCAGTCTTTTTATGGTTGTAATTATTTCCAGAATTTTTAGTTGTATTTAGAGGGGACTAACAGGGAAAGTGAGTCTTTGTCATCTCATCTAGGACCAGAAGTTGCAAAGAAAGTAGGCTCTTTTATCTTACAGTTTCTTCCTCAGTCCATTTCCTCACATTTTATTATTAACAGTAAGAAGAAACCTTAGAAATCTCCTTTCTACAGTACCACACTCATCAGGTACATGTTCTGTTTTCCACATAACTGGAGGAGGCAATGTTGTCGGGCTTTCTGTCACTTCATAACAAAGTTCCCGCTTCCCACAGTTTCCAGAATATGTGCCTCACTTTCTTCTGAGCTCTCACTGGCAGCATTCTCAAAGTTCAGGTTTCTATTAACAGTCTGTTCAAAGCAATTTATGCTTTCTCTATTATCCACTGGAAAATCTTTCCAGCCTCCATCCTCTGCTCAGTTCCAAAACCACTCCCACAATTTTAGTATTTTTTGTGGCATCACCTCACTTTCAGGTATGATGTCTGTATTAGTTATCTATCACTGCATAACATGTTACCCCAAAACTTAATGTCTTAAAGCAGCAGACCTTTATTATCTCTCTGTTTCTGTGGTTCAGGAATCTGGGCATGGCTTAGCTGCAAGGCTACAATCAAGGTGTTGGCTAGAGATAAGTTCTCATGTGAAGACTTGACTGGGGAAAGATCTGCTTCCAAGTTCACTGACATGATTGTTGGCAAAATTTAGTTCCTTGAGTGTTGTTGGACTGAGGGCCTC